TTATTATTATTATTGTTATTGTATTTTTTATCATTATTAATGCTGTTATTATCACTATTATTATTATGTTTTCTTGTTTTTATTGTTGTTGACATTGTTTCAACAGTGTTGTCTAAAATTGAAAGATCTAGTCATCTTGTCTGCCTTTTATAGTCCAAGATTCCTGTCTAGGGTTTCATCAGAAGTCCGAATATTGAAAATGTTCAGCAAATCAAATGTATGTAGGCCTATGTATGTTTGCTTGTTATATAAAACGAGGGGCATACCAAAAGTTTTTTACCTGACCATGAAGGAATCAAGGTAGAAAGCTGAAATGTGGGGTGAAAGCCAACAATCATCTTTCTAGAATGCTTGTAAATTTTGGGGAATTTCAGATTACTGGTTTTACTTACCACCAGCGCACTGTGAATGGGGGTATGTTGTTCTCCAGTTTCAACCTAAAAATGGAGAAAATTGAGCACAGGGTAGTAATGAAGTATAATTTGTTCTTGCAAGGCAAGCAACTACAGGATGCCGTATACGGAACTGATTGCCCATCCTATGTTGTGATAAAATTTTGGAGTAAAAAAAGTGATGATGTCAAAGAAGCGGTTGAGGGCTGGTTTTCAAACATAGAGAGGGTCCTTTATTCTCAAGGTCTTTTCACGGTCATACACAGATGGCAAACATGCATTACTCTGGGAGGCGACTATATAAAGAAGGAATAAGCTTAGTACCAAATTTCAGCTTTCTCTACCTTTATTCCTTCATAGTCAGGTAAAAAACTTTTGGTATGCCCCTCGTATGTCTAGGATTACGTAAGTCCGAAGATCGAAAATGTTCAACAAATCAAAATATATGTATGTATATTTGTTTGTTATACATTTCTAGGATTACGTTAAGTCCGAAGGTCCAAAATGTTCAACAAATTAAATTCTAATGTATGTACGTTTGCTTGTTTGTTTGTTTGTTCGCTCGCTCCGCGCGGCACGCAGGCCCCGGTGAGTTCGAGTCCGGCTGGCTACAGCCTGCACCAGCTGAGCGGGGACAAGTCACACGGCTGTGAGAAGACGGGATACCTGCTGAAGAAGTCGGAGGGTCGCATGAGGCGGGTGTGGCAGAAGAGACGCTGCATCATCCGCGACGGGACTATGTATATCAGTCACCACGACGTGAGTAGTGATTGGTCGCTGAGGTGGTGGGTGGTTGGAGGGTGTGGCAGAAGAGACGCTGTATCATCCGCGACGGGACT